CAAAAGCGTACTCGTCCGCGAGTAATCCCTAATAATTCCAAGTGATTTACCTTCGATCCCCGGGCTATTTGCGACGGGGTTCGATTCACCGCGAAATCGTTATCTCACGGTGGTGCATGTCTGGCGACGTCACAGAGCGGAGAGGACGAGGAACGAACGGGAAGACAAAACGTTTAGACCGCGGCCGCGGCCGTGGCTGACCCTTGCCATGCTAGATCCATTAGGGACGGACGAGTCACCGGGGAAAATAACGACAGACCGATCTCATCGGTTTCCGTAGCCGCAGATCCTGCTGGGAAACTTCTTAACGATCCAGGGTAAACGGAAATCGAGAGAGTAGCAAGACTTCAGTTCCTAATGCGAATTTCCCAAGGAGCGGAGCAAGTTCCGCAATAAATGCCGCGGAGAAATGAACGGCCGAGAACTTCTTGCAGAGAGACTGTTAAATCTTGTGCACCGTTTAAAATTTTAATACTCTCGTAACGTTTGGTTGACGATTAATTTCCTTCTGAAATTTGCTAAGGAATCGTTAGACAACTCTTGTGAAAAAATAACGAATCGTTAACTCTGCTCGTGCGGAGTTGACGGATTCAAAGTATTCCTGCGACAAAGTCGAAGGAGAGCACTTTTCCTTCATCCGCTTGCAGAGTTAACAACAGTTCCGAGCGAAGAGGCTGAAGGACAATCCAGCAGCCGTAATCCCAGGATAATTATTCGAGCAGTGCGGCGCGGGGCGGCGTGTCTCGTTTCAACGTGAACACAAACGAATCCTCGAAAAAGCCGGACAGAAACGCTGAGGGAATTACGGTTCTCTCGGAGGCAGGAAGCCAGACGTAGGTCCCGCGTCAAAGACACGTTGGCCAACGTTGCCAACTGAACCACGAAAATTACCAACTTTCATTACTCGTTGCACGGCACGAAGCGCATACAAGCGCGTCTTCTTTCACGCGAACGTTTCACCCAGCAGCGGTCAGCTCTCCGCGAGCGGAGATGAAAGAAGCGCATTTAAACGCGTTTCACTGTCAGCTCGATCCTTCCTCGTTTTTCCTTTCAACCGTGCTTGCCAGCCGTCTAATTAATTAAATGTAAACCCAGCGGTACCGGCTCGCCAGCTTTCTCTACAGTTTCTCGCCCACCCCCGCTTCTCTGCCATCTCTTTTTACCTCCGTCTTGCTCCTGTCATCGCGGGATCCTCTACTCGTCAACCGTCTTCGTTTGGGACTCGAGACGAACCTTCGGTAATTCTCCACTCACTTATTTGCGTTTACCTAAGAGTCGCGTCTTCGTCGAGCGGGACGCAGACGGTTAATTGGCCCCTGCCAGAGCTCATTCCTATTTCACCCTTCCGCAAACACGAATTTCGCTCGATCGTTCGCCATTCCTCTTGCTTAATTGCTGCATGCGATTCTTGAAAACGTTATTATAGCGTTATGCATAACATAAAAAGAATAGGAAAGTAGAAATTGGACTGCAGCTCTGTTGACCGCATTATCAGGGCAGTCTGCCCACCGGGTAATTACTTACCCTGGCGTACCTCCAACCTTTATCCCTGCCTCGTAAAACGCAAGCATCGCTGGCAGCCCTTAATCCGATAAAGGGGTGAATCGCGACCGATAGCCGGACAACCCCTTTCGTGCGTCCCGGGGATGCGTTTGAAGCCAGGACCAGCTACGGAAACCAGCCTCTCATTATCATAAACGTAACTCACTTGAACAACTCACCGGCATTTTGGAACATGGCCAGAGCTCGCGGGAGGAAAACCTTTGGCTTGCGACGGAAAATGGCGGTGAAAATCCAAGGTGCGATCTTTGAGCTTTTGTCGCGTTGCTTGGCGGCTGAAAGCGAGGGTTGGAAAAGGGGATGCTGTCGTTGGATCTTGGGCTCTCTCTGTGCTTTTCTTTTTTCTTTTTTTTTTTTTTTTTTTGGAGCGGGGTGAATTCGAAACGACGGATTGACGAGATTGGGGTGGAATCTTCGTGTATCTTTTTTTCATACGGTCTGGCGAATTTATGGCAGGTATGTGGGTCAGTCTGAGCGAGAAACTGTGAATTGCAAATGAACGTTGATACATTTTCCTTTCTTCAAATGTTTCAACTTATAAAATTTCTAGGTTAAACAATTGGATGTTATCTGAGTTTCTTATTCCCGGAAACGTGAAGCTCCAACATTTGTGGAAATGTGAAACTCCATCTTTGAAGTCACTCGAGTTTCCGGTCACATCGTCGAGCTGACGACTTTTCTCGCGGCAATCTCTGCTGTTAAAACGTAACTCGGTCATTAAAGCAGTCCCGTTTTCCGCTTTGAATACGCCATAAAACCATCCCCGATCACGAACGCGATCTTCGACATCTTCTCCTTCGGTTTCTTCCCTCGGTAATCGTTGACCTTAATTGACCTATTCCACGAGCCGATCGCAAACTACCATCAACCTGCCTCGTCGAGCTTGATTCGCTTTTTTTCTTTAAATTGTGACCTTCGTCGAAGCACGAGTGTCGGAGGGTAGTAATTGAATGCTTAATATCGCGTTCGCGAAGTTTATGATTCGTGATAGCAGAGCGGGGTTGGGTAACGCGGCGGATAATGGAGTTATAAATTGAGTGCTTAATTTTTGAGATGCTTCAGCCGAGAACTTTCAAATTTATTTATAAACGTTGTTAAAAGCTTCGTTTAGTATGTATACAAGTTCCTTCTTCGCTGCTTACTCTTCGTTAGTCGAGTCGTTTAATCTTTCGTTCCGGGGTCTCCTTTGCGGCAGGAAATTCGTATCGTTTCCTGTCGTACTTAACGTAGGAATTAGTTAACAAAATATATAGGAAATTCGATTAAATAAAGCGTATAACTCGTAGCTGATCAATGCCTTTGTACGTTCTCCATCTGGTCGTTACAAGCCCTTGTCGCGTGACCGCTGTTCCTGCGAGGAAGGCTTCCGTTTCCGAAAGTTAATCCACGCTGAAACCCAAGAGGTGGCCGCTTTCCACGGGCTTTACGGGGGTATCGCGATCGATCGGCGGGAATAATCGTAAAGAAGGGTGTAGGAGAAAAACAGAGACGGCGAGGGTGGCGAAGGAAGTTGTACAAGGGTGAACTATACAGCCTCGAAAACGACGCGTTTCACCTGATAAACGTAACTTCTGATACACGCCATTCTCTCAGCCTCACTTCAGCAACCCCAGAACGTCGTAGCCACGGGTTTAAGCTTGCAAGGGAGTTTTTCATGATCTTCGCCGCCCCTTGGATTTTCATCCCCTGGGCGCACCCTCGCGCCGCTCCGCATCCATTCGCGACCTCTTTAATTCCAGGATCGAATAAGAATTCATTAAAAGATGCGCGAAGGGAGAGAGGGGAGCATCTTTCCCGTTTGCTTCGAACTTGCCCAGGGTTTTAAATAAATTAAAAGTTTACTTCTTTTTCCTTTTTTCTTTTCCTCGTCGCAACATCGGCCACGCGACATCGAAATCGAACGCCCACCCTCTTTTTCTTTAATTACTCGCCTGGAGATTGGTACGGGATGCAAAGTGGAACTTTGTGAAATCTATTGGTCGACCGGTCAAAATTAGCCAGAACTTTTGAAACTTTTGAACGAGGGTTCGAAGAAAAAAAGGAACGGTATTTTCATGGTCGAATATTGCTGTTAATATTCTGCGATACAGTTTGGTTCGTGATAAGATTAAATGAAACTTTGTCGATTGTTACCTTGAGTAGATTGCACGGTCAATATCATCTTATGATAGACAATGGTAAATAATCTTCATGATATTGCAATCAAATTTTTTATTTCAAGTTCCGTGGACTTATCTTTCAGAGGTAATTGTATTGAGATTGCATTCAGGTGTCGCGATACGAGCAAAGCTTCTTTCTTTTGTGAATATCCGTTTCTATCTGGAAATTGCCAGCCGACAGGAAAACCAACAACCAGCTACTCCATCGCGTTATGGAAATTTCGGGCGTGCAATTATTTCGATCGATCGCCACGGAGGCAATCTCTTTGCTCGTTCGCGGTGCTTCTCCTTCAAGGGGAGATCAAAGAGGCCGTTTTCCCTCTAATTACGGAAAATTTCGTCGTCGGGATATTTAGCTAGACGAGACGTTTCCCTCGAGATAGGCGGGAACAAGAAGGGTTCGTGTTTATTCGAAGAAAGATCGGAGATGATGTTTCGATAATGCTTTTAATTGATCTTACAACGTGCTGTACTAAGTTCCATCAACCCGAGGACAGTTAGGAAATAATTTTCCGCTAGAATTAATTCTTACCACAAATACTTAAAATTTCGCAGACTATGTCGAACATTCCGAATCACGATTAATGGTAGAAATTGATTTTTTCCTGGAAAAACAACAGCAATCGCAATAAGAAGGTCGGGATCGATCGTTCCACCCCTGTCGCATTCTCTGCTTCATTCCACGAAGACCCCCATTACTTCAGCAGCGATCTAGTAATTGGCTGGGTTCGTAGGTTCTTCGCAACGTTTCCCCTTCGCCTAGGCGTGGACAAATATTTTCTTATAATATCTCGAGCCCGGCGTTCCTTTGAAGATCGGTGACGTTCAGCGGAAACGTTCCGGAATCGTGGAACGCGATATCCTTCAAACATCATCGACGTTTGGTTACCAGGCAATACCGTTAATACACGTTTTCTCGAGCTACAATCATCCTGTCGAGCCACATATTAAGTAGCGACGAGCTTTTTGCGCGTCTCCCTTTACGCGGAGGCTTTTCCATTCGAGATCAAAGCGGAACACACGGCCTCCCTTTGCGTTCTACGTTCCCATTTCTGGCGTGGCCTTTGCCCGTGAAAGCGAGCTAACCGCCGAAAAGTCATCCACCGTACACGTCTAGCCGGTTAAATAATCGAACCTGCCAGCCACCAGTTTCGAGGGGTCGCGATGAAAGGGTTGAAAACGTCATACTTCATGTGGCACAATTTTACCTCATGGATAGGAAACGGGCAGGGAACGACGTTGGTCCTAACTGAAGATCGATAGTCAAATTATATTTTTTTATTTTTTTTTATTTACGTATTTTAATGTTTTTTTTTTTGTTTTTTGTTTGTTTTTGTTTATACACACGGTGTCCCAGTATTGATGGCACAACCATAGAGGGAATGATTCTACATGAGAAAATAAGTTGAAAGTATTAATGCACAAATTGTTGAAAATGTTGACCACCGTACTGCATACACAACTGTTTCTTACAAGTGTATGCATACTCAAAGAAAATTCAAAGCTGATTTTTTCGAACACAAAGCCTCAAATGAAAATAATTTATTCCTTATTATCAACTTATTTTCTCATGTAGGATCATTCCCTCTATGGTTGTATCGTCAATACTTGGACGCCCTGTATATATATTTTTTATTTATAGAGATATGTATATATTTCTTATAACTATTACCGGAAATCTCCTAAATTAAAAAATACGTCTTAAAGACGTTTTAGTAACATGTTGGAAAGAACAACAAAAGGTAAAAAGGATGCGTTGGCCGTTTTATCTCCACTAGACGTGTTAGGCTCGAGCATAACAGACGATTCTGTGTGTTCCTCTATCCATTTCCGGAAGAAAGCGACGTCCGAATAAACACCAGGAGCTCGAGGACGGGCGCAACCATCTCCACCGGAAACGACACCGGCTAACATCCCCTGGCAAGTCAGACTACCTCCAGAATCTCCCTGAAAATCATTGACTATGATGTAGTGCATCAATTACGAAATATTCCATGGAGAAACTTTTTTGGTAACCCTTTCAACCCTTTTTTACGAGACGATTAATCAATCGGTCGCTGAGTCATCGCTGTAGAAATCTCTGTACGATTCGAGCAGAAAATTGAAGTGAAAGTTCCTTACCCCGCAAGCGTCTTTTTGCCCTTCCATGAATCCAGCACACATCATTCCTGGCAGCATGTCCGTCACGTGTGACAAAAGTTCCCGACACGTATCGATTTTCAGTAATGGCAGACTCACGTACATAAGATGATTGCTTACCGTTCGGTCATCCTAAACAAAAAAAATTTCGAATACATCTTGAAACGTCTACATTAGTTATTTGACTTACTTCCGACGGATAACCCCATCCAGCCACCTCACAATATGTATTCGGTTCGTGTGTATCAGTTGCTAGAGATGCGATGTTCACCTCATCCGTCATCTTAAAAGGCACACTAAGCTACAAGGCAAAAGCTGGTCAATTTAAAAATCAAACTCTTCGACAAAATTCTTTGCGATTGAAAAACAAAAAACTATAAATCCTACAGTGAGTATTGCAACATCGTTCTGCAGAGTATCTGCATCGAACTCTGAATGAACGTCAACCTTCTGTACCCCTCTTTTCTGACCAGTGGAAGTTTGTTTATCGAGCTTCAATTCTCCAGCAACGACCATGATCGACCATGGTTGTATTACAGAGCCATAGCTGTAGGAACAACGAGGCCAGGTTTACTTTCTACTTTTCATAGCGTTCATGGAAAAGTTTGAAATGCACTCACAGGTACATGCAATGGGCCGCGGTGAGGACATGCCGTTCGCTTATCAGTGATCCTCCGCAGAAGTGTGCGGAGTTGTAGCTGCGCCTCAACGACACCTAGACACGTTTACCAGACAACAATTGATGTCTGAACTCGTTTCGTCGAGAAGTTTCGTTAAACACTTCACTTACCTGATAAGGGAACTGTCTGAGTGCCGCCTTGGTTCCATTCACTATTCGCCCGGTTAAACTGTAACTCACCCACTCCACGTTTTGATAAGAGTTCAACGTGGTCTCGGTTTCACCTGACACACGATAAACACCGTCGCAAAATCAAGAACAATTCCATGGATTAATATTTCATCGCACGGAGTCGATGGGAAACAAATTAAGTAGAATGAATCAGGATTTCCCGCGACATCGTTGAACGAACCTTCCGTTTAATGAACCGCGGCTGATGATCGTCAAATCACGAAGGATTTTGATAAATCTACCGGTTTAGAGGAGATACAGATGATTTATTTTTGGAAAAAAGCTCGACTTACCATAAACCACTCCGAACATCAGCGCCACTACCAGCACGAAGGAAGCCATGCTGCCCACTGGCTAAGATAATGGACGATCGAACGATTTATTGAGTTGCTTATCGATTAGATTAGATAACGCGGGTATCCATAGTTTTTTTCCCGCCGAAAAAACCGTGAATCTGGGATTACCCAGACAATATTCGTCGTATAAGGTTCACGTGTCAATCTAAATTGCAATGTGAATCGAAATTTCGAATTCAGAATTTCGAATTTAGCCACGTACGAATGATTTTATGATGCGGGAAGCGTGGCGCGTGTCAGCTACGGAAACAGGTAACTACTGATAAATCATCGGTCAATATAGATCTGATAACGATCGACGATTTCTTTGTATTCCCTGCTACCGTTCAGATAATGGGATCGTAACCAGGTTACGGTGACGACATCTCCACGTTGGTTCACCGTGATTGACATTAATTTAATTCGATGAAATGAAATAAAAACTGCAGGGCAAATAGAAACATTGTTTCGAAATCAGAGCAATTTTCGTGATCAAGGATTCCAGAAACGTTCGCGTAATGGAAGAGTACCTTTCGAAGCCGACATCTTCTGAAAAGGCACGTATTAGATTGTTCGAGAAAGTGCGAATTAACGCCGGTACGAAGCAAAATCGATCGATCTTCGCGATGAATTGCACCGCGAAACCGGTATCTGCTTGTCGTTAAGAGACGAATTAATCGTCGGGTAGCAGCGAGAATAAATATTCATAAAAGCTCTTCTGTTCGGTAACGAGGAACCTGAGAGAAGAGCTACCGTTACTTGGCAAAATCGTGCTTCGAATCGGTGATTATCGTTTCGTTCGAGAACGTCGCTCGATGAATCGAATTAACGAGAACAGAGTGCGAGGAGGTGTTCGGAAGCAACCGGTGATTACTTATTATTTATAAGACACTCAACCGGTGAATTCACCGCGGTAAGTACACGTTTTCGAGCTTATTTACGAGCGAGCTTCGCTCGCAACAACCCCCTCGTCCTTTTTACGATGGAAGCGTTGTATGCTAAAATGATAAGTCAACAAATCAATCAAATTGTAGTGCATCAAATTGTCTTGGGGGCTTAATTGGAATATCCGTGTGCTTGTCGAACAACGAGCTTCGATTCGCAAAGTCTGAACAGTTCAACCTTAACCGCGATTAATTAGCATCGACGTGGATGCTTGCGAAAGCTGGACCGATCCGCTAGACAACGAACTGCCCCCAGGGCTCTCGACCGGTCTGTTGGCCACACGGAGATTGTACACAGGGGTTGTTGTACGGGGGCTTGTACGCCGGGGCTGGCTGGAAACACGGGGGTGGGTAATGGTGGCTCCTATCAGCTCTGTACACTCTCCTGCTCTCTGCTGGGCCCTCGAAAAGCCCGTCACGAGCAACGATATTCCGTTGAGTTACGCCGATGGTAGCTGAAACACGCGCCCACCGACCACTTTGCATATTGGATGCCCGTTCGACTACCTATTTAACGGCGTCTTCTTCGATGGACTACCACCCCTTGCTACTCTACTCGAACCTAACCACTGCCAATCTGAAGCCCTGTTGATCGAACAGAGCATCAATGCCCACACTTTTCCTTCCTTTTTTCGAAACATCAGATTTCCTTTCATCAGGAAAGAGCATACAGCATTTCGTTTTCAACTTTCAGTCTCTGATAATTAAGCTTTGCGCCGTATCGTCACAATTTGTTTAAAAAAAAGTTACATTTACGATTGTATACGAATGGAACATTATTCCAGCAACGTAACCCAAGCTTATTTCCTATCGTCTTCAAAGTCTCCTCATTCCGTCTTCCTTTCACCGAAGCTCCTTCGCCAACGTTTCTCTCCCTCTCTCCGGTACTCCTCCGGATCGGAGACGAGCTACCTCCACTCGACTTCTTGTACCCGGATCAAGGAATCATTCTCGATGGAACCGAGGATAATGTTTATGGGATGTAATGATAAGGAATGTTGCCTGGGGGCGGTCGACCCTATCCACCTCCCGGTTCGCGTCGCTGTATCTCTCCGCTGTTATTTAGTTGCTCCCGCTATAAAAGGACATCTTTCTTTCTGCATGCAGATGTGCGTGTATGCGCTACTAAGCGTAATCATCGATTTGCTGAAACATCGCTGAAACTATTCGTGACTAAATCGTAATTTGATCTATTTAGTATAATATTTTTCTTTTTTGGTAAAGAGCGAGGGAACGATGATCGCGTTGCTGTCCGAGACGACACAACGTTGATGACGATAATACAGCTGAATATCTGGGAACGATCTTAGACACTTCAACGTTGTTTTATATGCCTAGTCTTTTTTTATCTTTGACTCGAAGATGAGAGACGCTTATCGCGATACTACCAACTCTTTTACAGCTGGACGAACCACTCCTTCCATCTCGGATATTCCTTACTATCTCTCCTGCCAATTCGATTCAGAAGTTGCGAGATTACTTTTCATTCATTTTCTAGGTTGCATTATCGTGAATCCTCCTCAGCCGCGGGGTGCGGATCTACCTGTGGAACATACATTTTATAGGTAACGTTATTTTATTTTCTGCATTCATTTAATTTACTGTATTTATCTTCTTAGTTTATTGAATAAACTCATTGCCGATAACGTATAGAATTAAAAGGTCTACTATTTTCAGTTGTTTACCCAGTATATTCCTCGTGGTAAGCAGACCGACTACGACCTTGACAAAGTGGCTAACTCACGACCCTATTCATCCGGTGCCTCCTCCCGCGGGCTGAACAGCAGCGTGGAAAGAGGAAGAAGGTAACCTTGACTGCAGTGCAACCAGTTAAAGGGCTGTTCAAGGTCTACCAGACGGTTCCCAGTCTATCGTCTGGCTGGCTGGTTGGTTAGCTTGGCTCGGTTGGTCGTTACGCTCCGCCAAGTGGACGACGGATGGAAACAGCCAGAACGGAACCTTTTCCGTTCACGTGCAAATACACCGACTATGGCCTGTTTTACCTCGAGAACTGGAATAACGAGCGATGTATTTCTTTTTTCCATTCGATTCACCGGACCCAGTCCCTGCAGCGAAGAAGAGAGTTAATTATCGGAACCTTTCGGAAATCGATTTCCTGTACTGCGTCGAGAAATTTAGAAACAATGTAGGTTCCTTTCCATTTGCAATTTTTCCTCAATTCCGTGAAAAACTAAGAAATAAAAAAAATACAGAGAAAAGTTAAGAATTCCAACTAATTTCTTTTTTGATAAAATTCGTCGATAAAAGGCTAAGAAATGTATTTTTTTAGATCAAAAGAATTAGTTACAGCTTTACGAGTTCTTCTCAGCCAGGATCTGCAGAGGCCTCACCGAATATTTTATGGGATTTTCCACGCTTTCATCGAGGCTGTCGCCATTCCACGAGGCTACCCCTGCAACTTCACCCTTCGATGGAAGTGCTCGTGACGGGTGCCAGTATGTGGCAATCGAAGTGCTTTCCTCAGCGACGAAATTGGGTTGCGCCTTTTTCCATTTTCCCCGCTGATGGCTGCCGTTAGCACGCGATTCTCTCTTCTCTTGACGTGCCACGAAATCGAAATTCTCGACAACGGCCCTTTGATGACGATCCCGATAACAAACCTGACATCTGGAAAACAATAAACTTATCATTGGTATCCTTAATTAACAAGAAAACAAAAAATAACTGCAAATCGACGGGACCAAATGCAAGCGTTTAATCAGGATTGGAATTTTTTATTCGATCCTCCCGTATGATTAATAATTTTCCGATAAACATCGACAGCGGTTAATCCTCGCGAAGAAGAAAGCGTGCTCGAAAGACGTAAAATAAAACGTTTACTTCTGTGTTATTAATCACGCGATTTATTTGCATACTGTGCGCGCTTGCTCGTCGAAACGATCGTTGATTCCTTGGTCAATAGCTTGTTACCTGAAACCAGGCGACCGTTTCGAGGACGAGAGGAAACATTGCTCGATGCAAATGACACGAGATTGCATCTCGTATCTGCCGGATTAATCACAGTCATCTTGCGAGCCTCGCGTATTTCACGAGCGTAGCCGACGCGTCCGATAATTCCTAGCTAGCTTCGCCGATCGCAGCTTCGCAACCGAGTAATTTCAATTACAAATAAGAATCGTCTTACTCGTAAATAGCGCGTTTAAATCAACCCTCCGCTCTGCTGTACTCCGAGTAAAAAGTCTGCGCGATAAGATAACGAAAGTATCTTTTCTTTCAAAACAAAGTGATTACGTGCCGATTCCTGAACGCTGCTGTTGAAATAATCATGAGGAGATCAGAGATAAGAAGGGGTTAAAAGAATGTAGAAGGCCTTTCGAAACGAGTTTCGTTGCAACTCCATCGAATTTTCTGGTCGGCAAAGAGGCGCCTTCGAAGGAACACGTTCGAAGGATAAAAAGAGTCGAGCCATGCAGAAACGGCAGGAATCGAATCGTACCTGTGCGTCATCGAATCGGCTCGCGGCACCCATGCTTACTCCTGCTGTTCGTGTTACGTAACCAAGAGCCCGTGACCTCGATCCCGAGCTACCTCGGCTCCGAGCATTTCTTGCAGCACGAGTTGCAGAACTAGACGGGCCAGGTTAACCTCCCACAGACAAAACAACCGGCTTCGAACACGACCGCGTTCTTTTTGCTGGCTCCCGGTACAGTCGCCTCTCGCACCCTTCACTCCCTCTCTTTCTCTGCAATGAATTTCGCTGAATCATTCGAATCGTTTTGATTTCTCGTAAAATAACAAAATATTTTTCTTTCCTCTGGATACCGAGACTCCGTCTGTCCCATTCAATTTCTCGGTTACTCCGGTAATTTTCTTCTTTACAATCGAGTCGTTTCAACGTTTTTCTATGGGATAACAGACGCGTCGTTTGCCGGTGAACGAATTCAACGCTCGTAAATAAAGAGTTTCCCTCGCGACCACGAGAAGCTAATGGAGGCTGATTGTGAATTATGGTGGCTCCACGGACGCCCGCATAGTTTACAGAACGGCGACGAAACGCCGAGTGATTGTAAGTTATTGGCAGTTTCGTGCCTCCTCGTCGAGCGAATCTTCGCGGAAGATGGACTGCTTTATGAAGGGTTGACGGCGACGCGGATGGAAAGGGGACGGGATCCTTTAAACGGGCAAAGTGCTTCAACTCGGTGTCTGAGGAGTAACCAAGAAATTCTGATCGTCTTTCGTCAAAGTCAAATCGGTCTTCAACTTCGAATCGAATACCGTCGTCTGTTCTTCCTTTTCATTTATTAATTGTTCTCTTACGACGATGAAGTTTTCATTGAAAAAAAAGAAAAGAAAAAGAGAGGAAAAGACGAGATGTTTGATCGGTCAGGAGGATTTTTACGAGGACCAAGTAACGGCTCGTCCAGATACGGTCGCTTTTATTACGGCCTCCTCGAAACGCGTAACGTGCCTCGCGATCGTAAGCGCGCAATTTTTTTCCCTTGGCCAGAGTTCTTCTCCAGAAAACGATCCGACCGGGTAATCTTCTTTAATGCGCATCGCCGATGCCCGAATGCCGTGAACGTGACGCGAACAATGGATTCGATCAGCGATTCGTCCGATCGCGTACGCTTTATCTCTTCGACTAACCGAACCAATTCTTTGCTGATTGATCGTACCTGATCGTTATCGTTCTCCAACGACTAAAACCTACCATTTCTCTTGACATAAAAGACAAACACACGATTTTTCAAGTGGCGTATATGTCACGTTCAATTAAGATTATTTTTTAACGAACTCGTTATGGTGTGCGCAAAACGTAAAAGAAGGGAGACGGAAGAGCGCGTTTATCTTCCGATCGAGTACAGGTGCATTGTTCGCTGACGGGTGCAAAATGGCAGGTGCCTCCTTGACGACGGACAGTTATCGATTTAACGACGTGACGCGTTAAACGCGTGAATAATTGTGAAAAAGATAGTGATCGATAGCGGGGAATCGTGTGATAAATGCGCGATGTTACGCGACATGGCGAACCAGGGGGTATCTGTCAACGGTCCGGATAACTCAATCCGTTAAGGCAGCCTGATCTTGTCCAAATGCTTCGAAGTCAAGTTGAAAAGTCTCGGCACGATACACGCGAGCTAAGATTCATCGTTTGGAAGAACTTTGATCGCGTCAATTTTCTGACATCTTGTTAGAAGTTCTCGATAGAGGAATAAACGGTTCGGTTGTTCATCTTCCTACCCTAGGAAGGATGAGTTTCGTCGATGGAAAGGCATCGAAAAACGCGAAGTCGTAAGCAATCGTTGAGATTCCCGAGGGAGCAGCGACGAGGATACGCCCTGCTCGCGTAGGCCGAGACGGAAACGCCGGGAGGTTGGTCGACTTTTCTTGCCATTAGGCGGTACAGAAAGTTTTTGGGAGCGTTGCTACTCGGCCTGCGGGGCCATTTCCTCGAAGAAGGAAGGCATTTCCTCGTAGCCCTGGAGAATTGTGCGGCCGAGCGATTTACTGGTAATGCTTCGGATCCGGCGTTCCGATGAAATCTTTCGCGTGTTTAATTGCACGGTATAAATTACGGCTCCGACCTCGCCGAACAAGAACACGAGTTTCGGAATCTTCGGTAGAAATCTTTGCAGAGATTCTTTCTCTCTTGCTCGCCCATGCAAATCCGTACAATTACAAGAACAGAAGGATCCTGTCGTCGTCGTTATCGTTCTACGTCACCCACTATCCCCTTCATCGAACAACACGCTCTTCGTTCAATTGTTTCACGTGACAGGGCAGTTTCTTGACTTTTAAGAAACGCGTTTCCTGCGAGGTGTACGTAACAGCCTTCCGATGTATATTCACGGCTCGACGAATATACCAAATCGATTCCAACAGCGTGACGATCCATGACGTAAGTCTGCTGAATCGAGCAGGAAGAAAAGAAGGTAAATCGTAGGTTGATGATGAAGAAACGTGCGAGTACAGGGTGAAAGTGGTGCGTGGTGGCAGGTGCAGACCGAAATTCGTGCGTAAGTTCGACGTACTTACGAGGAGGAGAAAGTCCGTGTGCAAGGGTGAACGACCCGGCGCAGTTTTTCGAGGTTTTCGGGCCTGCAATTATGCACGCAACGAGCAGCGTGCAGTAACGCGGCGTGCTTCCTGCCGCCGCACCGCTTCTCGCTCCATTCCCCTTTCGTCGTTTTTTACTTTTCGCTTTTCGCGGGCAGAGTTTCAACCGGAAGAATCAGACTGTGACGGACGAGCAGAACGTCGTCCGGTTGCGCGCGTTAACTGCGGGAAACGATCGAGCTACCGGCGCGAATTAATAGCTTCGATGAAAAGGCGACTAATTGCTGATCGTTTTGTATCGGGGGAGATAGACAACTGATCGATTAGATAAGATAAGCTTCGATGGATTGTTCAGGATTTTTTCGCGATTTTGGAACAGTTAATTGATACAGAAAGCTTGCCACCTCTGTACAAGAAACTTGACGCTTCGAGTACTCTGAGGATCATAGGTGACTGAAAAACAAGATAACAGAAGTTAGAAATGAACGAAGCGATAATAGAATGACTAATCTACAAGTTGTAAATGAAAGGCGTCGACTGGCGGCTTTCACTATTTCTATTTCATCACACGGAACTTCATAATGAACATGCTAATATTTTTCTTTTTAACTCTTCTATTGTGCTCGAATGGCGTTCGAGGTACTTAAATGCAGTGCACGAATGCATGGACAACAGGTCACAGGTGTTTTTTTTGTTAACCTGCAACAATACGTTTCAAGGTAAAAAACAAGTATTCTGAGATGAATAATTTCTTAATTAAACATTGTAAGTTGAAATAGCCTATCGTTAAATATTCAAAACAGTCTTACAGTTTTCGTTTCTTAATTATTCCACGTGGCAGACCAAATGCAAAGAGTTAAGACAATTTTCTAACATCTACGACCAAGACACCCGCTGAGATTAAACACCCTAAGCAAAGAAAGTTATCCCTTCAAAGGGAAGATTGATGAATCGAAGAGATACTAAACGTTACTCGAATCCCCCGTATGTCGTACGTTTCCGGGACACTTCCGAACGACTGGCATCGCGTCTGGACAGGCCATAAAACTGAAGGCAGAACGTTTGTCGGTCGTCCTTTTCGCAACTTTTCTGGACGCAGCTGCATCCGACCGTAGGCGTTCGCATAGGGGAACAAACGTGCGGTTTAGCTACAATGTTGAACCAGTGCCACGCGGCGCGGAATTGTTGAGGAGTGCAGGTGCGGCCACAATGCAGGTCGGTTGCGTTTACAGGCCGTGAGCGTAGCACATGCCATTAACGTCCAGACCGCATCCATGCTGATCCCTTTCCCCTAACAACGATCCAGCCAGCCCGTCGACCCCTGCACAATATCACGAAATAGCGGATGCTTCTATAATGCAACGGCCGAAGGGGCCGTTTATCAGAGACACCGTTGCGGCCTGCTTCTATAATCGACCAGGATTAACATGACAATTTTGTTGAAAAGGTAACCGTAGCTCCTGCGTGACAGAATGTCAATTGAAACGGATAGGAGGAAGGAATATTTATCAAAAGTGTCTTCCCAATACTGCATCTTGCATATCGAATGCATAAAAATGACGATACAAACTCGTTCGGTTTTTATTTACAGAGATAAAGTCTGAAAGACAAGCGGAAGTAATGGAAAAATATCGAGAAGCGTTCTCTTTCAAAGATTACACGAGTATCGAGAAATTCCATCGGTAAACTCGATATACCGAGGCAACGGTATCGGAATCGCATCTATAAAAGTTCAAAGATCAGTTGCGTCCAAGTTTGCCGAACGAAACGGTGCTCTCTCGCATAGATCGCTCCATTCGTTTCAATCCGCTTTCAAGCGATCGGGCCGAAACAAATCTCTAGCAATTCCAGGCCAATTCGTATCGGTCCATTTTCCGTGTAGAATTTACGGGGGAAAAGCTGTAACCGATAAGGAACAGGTGCGGACAAGAGTAGACTGGAAGGCGAAGCCAGAGATTCGTCTTAATTCGCGTGGAGAGTCGGTTCTCGTTTGAGATTTTCCCCGGGCTTAGCCGGCAATGGGATTACCCTTGGAAAAGCTCCGGCGAATTTATCGTCGAAGACTTCGTTAACGGGACGCTGCAAATGAAAACTTATGCCAACGTTCGGAATCCAGCGGTGGATATTACGGTGGGGTTACGATGATCGGACCTCTGTACCCGTTTAAATTGCTTTCCCTCCTGATTTATCGGCTACCAGGCATGCCAACGGCTCTAAATCAATTTTACACCGTCTCCTAAGCTAAGGCTAACCGTGTCCTAGACCGCGTTTAAACATCTTCCTGGAATCTTTACAATTTCATGAAGCTTTGGAGAAAAATTTCCAAGTATATACCTTCAATGGTACTCGTCGTGGAAAAAAGTAAATTGCTATCGAATTACTCGTGAATTTCCATCGTCGAGTCCTCGGGGATCGAGATTCCGTATCCGCGGAATCCTCGCAAGCGTCTCCCTCAAAATAATACATCCCTCGGACCGAAGTCCCCGGGGTAAATATAATTTCGCTCAGCCAGGGTGTTTTCTCCGCGTTTCCCCTTCCCGTAGAAAGTTTTCTGATTTACCGGCCCTATTTCTCCTCGATGGGGCTCATGTTTCGCGAATTACGACGATCACGATGACATTGTGGCGGCGAAGGGCTTTCAGACAACTTCTTTCCTCGCCATCGGTTCCGATACACGGATCCCATACTCCTCAAACATCGAACGTCTTAAGACAATCTCTGCTGAATCGTTGTTTTTTTTCCATTCTTCTCATCGTTATTCAAAAAGGCAATATTTCAGTAGAATATTTTGTAGCCATGAAATCATAAGTCAAAGGATCAATTATGATTTCTATCAATTAATAGGGTAAAGCTTGCGTTTGATGACTATCCAGGGAAACGTTTCCCAAGCGTGACCCCACGAGACCGGAAACGTAACACGAAACGAAATTAGTTACCGCAAACACAAACGAGCGCATCTTCCGCGTCGAAGCCACTCAATATAAACCAATAAAAGCGTGTAACGTAATCCTGATTGGCGAAGTGCTTATAACACCGAGTAACATTACACCCCGAAACTCTCTCTCTCTCGACCGTCTTCGCCACGTTTGCCCTATCACGATTCTCTGTCCAGACACAATTATATCATGTCCCTCCTATGGTATTACGTTCTGACCAGAGATCGAATTGAGACAATTAGGTGATTTATCGATTAAGAATAACTTTTATTGTTCTTCTATGGACGATCGATCTTAAAATCCTGTTACAATCTGAAAATCTCGCACGTTTGATGACTCTGGTCGGCTTGATTTTTCGAATACTCGGGGAGGGACATGATTTATCGATAGGCAGGGTAGCTCGAACGATAGGGTAACAGGATTCGAATGGTGCAGCAAGCAATCACCCTTCTCAACACAGACAACGCCATCCAAAGCTGGTGCTCAATCTCCGCTCTCGATCCTGGTTAACCGAATGGCTTCGTAGAGTAACGTAGCCCTGGATCGTCTGTACCAATTAACACCGACCCGTGCTCACGAGCACATCCAACGGGCAACGAGCGCTACCAATAGACCCATCCTCGCATAAAATACGAACCAATGTCATTAATCTCAATAGAGAGGCTGAGGCTGGTAATTAACGCGGCCACCAAGGCCGATAGTGGTACACTCGCGATCGAAAGCGAGCTTCTATAGTCAGGAGAGAGTCATTCGTAAATGTAAATTAAGGGAATCGTTTCTGAAGTGTTAATTTTGATTAACTTGCTCGTTTGCGGTCTGGTTTAACTGAAAACAGACATCATTTCTAATCCTGTCACAAACTAATGGCACGTCCAACGCGTGATTCGAGAACTGAATAGATCTGATTGCATGAGTAATAGACTTTTCCTCGAATTTCCTATTTTCCTCACAAAGGACGATCAAATACAAGGTTCATCAACTTTGCCAAACGTCATCGTTTGGAAGCATCTGGCTGGAAGTTTCGTGCGAGACAAACAAGATCCAGCTTCTGATCCCTTGGCAATAGTTCTAACCTGTTCTAACCCTTCGTCGGTCGAGAGCCCTTTCTGTCCGAGCGTCGGATTAGATTTAACCATCGTCGGATGGAGGCGCTTCATAATGACTAGAGGGTTCCCCATTGTCCATCGGTGCAGGAGCGAGGGTCGCGCGACTAACTTTGCCCCGCAGGTATATCGGCGACCACGAAGGGACGCGTGTGTCCTAAGCCATTCTGTACGAGTTACAAAGTCATTGTTTGCGACGCCGTTTCGCTCCCGCGAGACACGGATACCAACGTTGTTTTCCATCCAGCCATCCAGCCATCCAGCTCACGGATAAAATCGATCCAGAGAGAGTGCCGTCGCTTCCGAGAGAAGCAATCCGATTTCCTATTTCCCTTTTCGCGACGCCAGCGACTACAGAATCACTCGACGCGTCTTTGTTCTGGAAGGGTCATAATTTGGGGGTCCCAAACACCCCAAAGTGAAGTTATTAAATTTTACCAATCCCTCTTTTATCACAACTCGCACCGACAACTCAAAGACACGATTTCCATTCCCTTTGATTTTATTTTATTGGAAGTCAATCAAAATCAATGCAAAATTGATTTCCAGAGTTTTCTTCCAATTTTCCAACACGTTAAAACCGTGCGCAATTATTTCAACAAAGACTCCGCTACTTGGATAAAGTCACGACTGCCCGGTATTGGAACAATAGAGAAAGATGTACTTAAAGCTTTTCATTTTATCTTTGAGCCCGCCTCTGCGGTACTCGAGCCACTAGCAATTCCTTTCGAAAGCTCCCGCCAACGGAGGAATTAATTTCTCGGTAAACTGACTCCTCTTGCAAGCGTCGCGACGAAGCCTGACGAACGAGACAATGACCGAGGAACGACGCGACGCGGAGCCGGGGGAAAAAAATCTGTTTCGTCCCGTTGGACGGGCAGGTTCAGGTAATTCGAACGATAAACGGGCAGCCGGTGGTCGTGA